TGCGAGAATCCAACGGGAACATTGACCCTTGCCATGTATCAGAGGCCAATAATAAATGCCATCAGATGCCATTTAAATTCTTTCCACCAACTGCATGCACAGGATTGTGGGATGGGATATCATATCGTATCGTATCATTATGTGGGATACATCTACAGTATGCTGCTGCCTGAAAGCATCTTAAAAGACAGGATGTAACATAAATATTAGATTTTAAAACGTTAGCAATATTACATTTAATGCCATATATACAGAAAATCTGCATACCTAACAGCAGTGGGGGACAGTAACTATAATAATTCGTTAAATATAGCGCTTTTCAAATGGAAGGGGGGAAGCTCCTCAACGACCACCAATGTGCAGCATCAACCTCATATCCACCTGGATGATGCGACGGCAGCCATATTGCGCCAGAAGGCCCACCACACACCAGCTTACTGGTGGAGAGGAGACGGAGTGATGAAGCCAATCATGGGGATTATTTAGGAGGCCATGATGATGGACAGAGGCCAGTGGGCAAATTTGGTCAGGATGCTGGGGGTTACACACTCACTCTTTTTCGAGGGACATTCTGGAATTTTTAATGAGTCAGGACCTCGGTTTAACGTCTCATCCGAAGGAGTCGGACTGTGCTTTTTGACAGTAGACCTTTAGTTTATAATATAGAACTAGTTAGGTTTTAAATAATAAAATAAACATAAACATTAAAATAACGCAAATTGAAGCCCATGCTTTTCCCTGCTGCCAGCGGTTTCAAATTATATAAAATTAGTAGCCTATGTTTGCAACTTGCATAGAGTTGTCCCTATGTGACGTCTGCTTGCATAGAAATGTTCTCTGCCACTGCGGATTAAAATGTTTTTTTTCTTACCGGCAATGGATGAACGGGTATCGCCGGCGCCGCCTGGTACGTTACTTCAGTTAATTTTATATCGTTTTTGTCGCCTTCCTCCTCAGTGTCGACTGTTTCGGTCGTCACTTCAGTTCCTGCACTTGGTCTTTTGAAATGATGGCTTTATGTTGCGTATCTATCTATCTCACTTGCTACGTATTTAACGTTACTTTTTCTTTTTTTTATGGTGTCTATAACGTCAGAAGGCGCGTTTGTGTGGATCACGTGATTATCCTTTTTTTTTCAACAGTGACAGCGTCGTTGTTAAAAAAACAAACATTTTTGTTAAAAAAAAAAACTTTATTCGCACACCTGCACCTAAATACATTTTACAGTTCGCGCATAGGCTATCTATTTAGTCGACACGACTGAAATGTTCATATTGTCGAGCCCTGATTTAATCTTTTTACTTCAAAATAAAAACTTTTACTCCACAAATCTAAAAACACTAATGTGTCCACAAGTCCCTCATTAACAAATAAGACACACACAAAAAAAAAACTTCAACATAATACAAGGTCATTCACCAGAAGACACAACATCAATTAAAGGCAGGGTAGGTGATTTGTTCCAGAAACCATTTTTGTTATGCTGGTTGAAAGTCTCTTCACAATAGCAATCACTAAGTTAAGTGGTCTAATGCATTCATGTAAAGGCCTATATATCGTCTGTGGAAGGTGTAGGACCCTAAAATATTCATCCAATCATTCCCCTCATTCCGAGGGCAACAACACAATGTCCTAACAGCCTGTCAATGTATTTCATACCTCCGCTCCGCACACCCTGCTCACGCAGACATCACACATCATCATCAGCGAGTTTCATGCTATGCAGAGTTAGGCTGCGTTCACACTGCAGGGGCTTAATGCTCAATTCCGATTTTTAAAAAAAAAAAAAAAATTTTGCAAGGCCGTTCACATTTCCAATTAAATGCGACCTTTTGTGATCTCCTGTGTGAACGTGAACGTGAAATGACCCAGAAGTGACCCGCATGCGCAGAAGAGTACTCAATAACGGTCAACGACATCACTTGTTGTTTGCGCAAGTAGCTAAACATGGATGTCAACAGTGGAGCTCGTTTAGCAATATTAAAGTTATTTTCCCAACAGAGCCAGCACAATTACAATCTTCTCATTCCCGCCTACTTCAACGCAGAATTATGACGTTTGTCGCATATCAATGACGTGCGGGTCGGAAAAAAATCGGAATTGGGTCGTTTCAGCCTGCAATGTGAACTTAGCCTAAAGACAGACGTCAGTCACAGAGTGCCACAACCAAAACAGCAGCCACCTTTTACAGTTCCTCCTGAACCAAAACAAAGCTTATGCTGCGTTCACGCCATGGCAACTGTAATTTGAAAGAGATGAAAATCTGTGACGTTAAACTCGGACCGGTTCGTGACTCAAATGAATGTGTTTTTATGGCAACACCCCAATGGCACTACTTTGGGCCTCGGGCACGCAATTAAACTGACAAATACATGCAAAAAATGTGTCAAAATGTCCGTCTTGGGGACTTTTTTTAACTTAAACGTTATGTCTTCAGTGAACATAAACAGCTGGGAAAGAAATCAAATGCTTGTCAGAGTATTAGGTCTGTGCTTTATTAGCCGGTTGTCCTGCATCCTCAATAAACAAGCTACAGTTAGTGCAAAATGCAGCCGCTAGAGTTCTTACTAGGTCAAGAAAATATGATCATATAACACCAATTTTATCATCTCTACACTGGTTACCTATCAAGTTCCGTATCAATTACAAAGTACTATTACTGACCTATAAAGCCCTAAATGGTTTAGCTCCTGTGTATTTAATGGACCTTCTATCGCCCTACAATCCATCGCGTTCTTTAAGATCACTAAATTCGAGGCTTCTAGTCATTCCTAGGATATCTAAGTCCACTAAAGGAGGGAGGGCGTTCTCACATTTAGCTCCTAAACTCTGGAATAGCCTTCCTGATATTGTTCGAGGCTCTGACTCGCTGTCCCAGTTTAAAACTAGATTAAAGACGCATCTTTTTAGCCAAGCATTTACATAATGCTTACCTTTTATTATACTGCTGAATCAGGTCAAATGCATTTAATACTATAAAACTTGAAGAGACTGTAGGTTATCTGTATAGGTTGCATAGTATTTGCAGTCATTACGTTCCTGTGTATATTGCGTGAATGACGGGTGGTTGGGCAGATATTGTGTTGCGGTAGGTAGTATGCCATACGGAACCGTTGTCCACTGAAACTGCCTATTCACGCACCAGTGGGGCTCGACAGCCTTAGTCAACGGGTTGGCGCGTATGGTTGGGTTGCGGAGAGATTGTGAGATTGTGGTTAGGTCTCAGCAGCAGGAGGGACGTAGAGGTCAGTAAGCTGGGCTGAGTTGAGTGGGGGACGGAGGGGGGTGATTTTGGGACGCAAGAGTCACTGTATTCATGTTTTGTCTTTTACGCCTGTGTTATGGAAATCATCATTATGAACAGCAGCTACGCTAATTATTTTCCCTTTGCTTTTCTGCTGTTATCTCGGGACGCGAGTCCCGAGAAAATGGCGTTCGTCAGCTCCAGTTTGTATCCAGCCTCTCACGGAGACTTCAGATGCTCCAATCACAAAGCCTATGAAGTGACGACTTAACACGGGCGATATGGACTCTCTATGGTGGACGCCACTGATCCTCAACAACTCGTCTTAAGACCGGCGTGCATACTTGGACTTCCAAAAAATACTCTAAATGTTCCGATCCAATCTGACTTGTAATGCTGCCCGAATCATGCACTGTTCCTTCGTTGGCCAGAGGAGAACTGGCCCCCCGACTGAGTCTGGTTTCTCCCAAGGTTTTTTTCTCCATTCTGTCACCTGATGGAGTTTTGGTTCCTTGCCACTGTTGCCTTGGCTTTTGGCTTGCTTAGTTGGGGACATTTAACATTTAATATTCAATAATATTATTGATCTGCCTTACTTAAGGTGGACGTTGACGCAATTTCTTTTAGAAACAAACTTTGTTATATTGTTATATTGTTTTTGTTATATTGTTTTCATGTTATCACTGTGAAGCGCTTTGATACAATCTGTATTGTAAAAAGCGCTATATAAATAAAGGTGACTTGACTTGACTTGTGCATTTGGCATTAAAGTGACAGCAGCCTAATAAACCCTTTGCTCTCTCTGTCATTTAATGTTAATCAAACAAAAGAAAATGAAAGAATCAATCAATGCTCTGCACTGAATAACATTAGTAACTTTAATAAGAATCAATGTATATTTAATTCATACAGTAAAGACTATGCAGTTTTGTTTATTTAATTTTTTTCATTTGATTAGTTTATTCAATGTCTGTATAGTAGGCTTTTATTAGTAGCAGGCTAAATTGTTAATTTCATTCATATATTTGTTTCTGTTGTATTTGTCCTATTGTTTTTTTGTTTTTTTTTATTGTATTACTGAAAGTTTCAACTCACTGTTGTTGGTTGACAGTGAAACTGCTCTGACAGATTAAGGGGTTGAGGGTCATTTCTGGGTTATTATGAGGGGGTCTACATCTTACCCCAATCAACCCTAAGTGCTTGCATAATCTAATCTTCCTTATTGACTAATGCTGGATACTTGAAAATTCATAATCATTCATAATTATGTCACACTTGCTCTATAACCGATTTAATGTCTATTATTATTGCCATTGTTGTTGTTGTTGTGGCTGTAGGCTACACTATAGTGGGTGTGTGGCGTAAGAGCGTGAGAACAGTGTCATTTGGCAGCCCTGACTATGACGCACTTTTAAATCACTAATAAATTACTGTCCTATACTGCCTTAAAGCATATTTGTGCTGGTCCTGGAGTTGAAACGTGTTCATTGCAAAGAATTGGACTGTCATACCTTCCATATAACCATCAGATGTCCATATTCACATAATTCATTAGGGCACTCACAGCACTGACACATCCAGACAGCGAGCACACAGCAGCTGTCTCTTAATGGACACTACACTGATTTAATATAACAACTCATAAGCACCGGTTGTGAAGCTGACGAACTGACATGCGAGTCATTGTGCATTTGGGACGGGAAAAGGACCATTACCAAGCGACAAGATGCAAATAACTCTTAAAAGAGCGTTTTACCTCCTCTGGAAGTCCTTTTCAAAGGGTTTGAGGTAAGGGTCCATTTGCAGAAGAGACTTCAAGTGAAGAATTGTAACATTATCCTCTGAATCTGCCATGTTCGCGCCAGACCAGAGCAATCGAGCAGCGAGTCCTTCGTTTATTTAAAGCCAAAGCGCGAGATTGCTGCTTTCACTATGGAGCAATAAGCAGCGGTTTGTGTTGCACTGTCATTTGAGACACAGGTCATGTTTTTATGCCCTGCCCATATTAAAACGAGAGGATGTGGCTTCCTGCGCTCACTTTTCATGTTTGTTCTTAAATGACAGCGTGGTGCTTTAAGGGAACCGCGGAAGCGTTCAGGCAGTGGAGGTCTAATCGAACTCCTTTGCCCTTGACAAAGTTCAACCTCCTTGGTTTATGGACGGACCTTCTTCCGTCTAACATCACTGTTATTGCAAATGTAAATGCATTAGATATAAGAATGAAAAATAATGGTTAGTGTGCATATAGTGTGCTGTGCATGGATATCCTATCCTATGGCCTACCAAACTCCATCTAAAGCTATTTTTAAAAATTTTAATAATAATATTATTTAAATAACATATTGCATATAATGGGTTTATATGAAGATAAGTTCAAAGTTCACTTAAATAAAAGTTTTATTTGTTTAAACCCTATAGTAGCTAAATGTCATAAATGATTAAAAATGTACAAATATACTGTAATGTTGAATGGCTATAATTACTCATTTTGTCCCCAGAAATTGAGAAAAATATTTAATATTGATTTGATAGAGTAGAGGCATATTAGTATGTGACACTAGCCTTCATAGTGGCTACTTAATAAACCGATGGCATTAAACAAATATTTAAAATATACTGTTCTTTTATGTTTCTCCATTAATTTGGAGATTCAATGTGAAATTATGAATTATAATATAAAAACATATTACACATTTTAACGTTAGGCACAAATAATCATGATTAATTACAGAATTTGTTATTTTTCAAACAATTAACAGCACTAATATATATATATATATATATATATATATATATATATATATTAGGTGATTAAAGATTATTTAAAAAGGTGACAAACTTGAAATGATCTGTTTCAACGGTCTAGTTTTGGAACCACTGTATTTTATATAATAAAAATGTATTTATTTTATTTTATCTATAGGGCCTATTATTTATAAAGGCATTTATATTATTACTATATATATATATATATATATATAGAGAGAGAGAGAGAGAGAGAGAGAGAGAGATAGATATATGATACATTTGATTAATTATAATGAGTAACATGACTATAACATAACTACCAATGTGTTAAGGTATAATATGTTTAGTTTTTTATATAAAAGTAGATGTTTGACGTAGTAGAGGCTTTATAACAAGGGCAAGCAACCCTTTCGTGGGGCCAGGTATTCATTCATTCATTATTGATCTTTTTATCCTTCAGCATACTTAATAATGTGCAATATGACATGTCTAAAACGCCACCATATGGTTTGGTAAGTTTCAAGGTTAGATATAAAGATAAAGTGGGTATATTTGTAAAATTCACAGAGCGAGAAAAAGCAACAGATATTTCATCAGTGTATGGCCTTTCCACAGTAGGCCACAAAAAGTGGCATATTTGCACCTATTTTATTGTAATTTTATCAACCACAAACCACAAAACGATTCGCTTTGTGTTGTATGCCCTTGAATCGATGTGTTATACAGTCTGCAAGAGTCACAAATGTAACTGTTTACATCTGGCAGGTTACCGTTCTTTGAACCTGGTTGTGCTCATAAAAACTCAGATGGATCAGATCAGAGGTTTTTGAAAAGCCAGAAATGTACACATCACAAATTAGAACTACTGAATATCATACAAGTTTTAGAGCGAGCGGAACCCGTCCCCGTCCGAGTTTGACAAATAACTGACTTCAATTTACTCAAACTTCATATCCTGTATTCAGTCTTATTTGCTATACAGCTAGTAATCTCTTTATACTCAATATTGCAAAATAAGTGTTAAGAGGAAGATGGCATGAAGTGAAACATGCTTAGGAATGAATGTAATATTCAAGACTTCACGTGGCTGCTGTTGATCTCATATCTGCTCATATTTGATAATATTAAAACACTTTTTCAAAGCCTGGACCCTTGGAGCAGTTCTCTTTTAACTGTGGTTGCATCACATTTGATTTTGAAACAGTCCAGTATGATCAAATGCAGAAAAGTGTGTGGAGTTAAAACAGTATTAGACTCTCAGTAAGTGTGAATAACATCACAGAAGCTTTATCTTGTTTTCATTTGGTTTTAATCAATGTTCTTATGTTTAATCACATTACAGAATTAAATATAACTGTCTTTGAAAACATCTAGTTTACAGCGTGTTTTTATTTTATTTTAAAATGATAAATTTTTTGTGTAGAGGTGACATTCAGTGCAATGACATTCAAGCCACATGCAGTTTCTTCTTTATATCTAGAATAAAAATGTCATATACTAATCATATTTCAATTTTATTGGCATCAGAGGTCATTTAAACCTAAAGTGTATGCATTTAGATATCACAATGATAGTATTCATGAAAATGGAAAAGTCAAGGTTGATATTATGAAAAAGAACAATATGTTTCTGCGAGTCAATGATTCTGAATTGATGAGACTCTTTTTCAGCATGTGGAGGTTTAGATGAAAGTCAAGGCTGCAGAATATGTTATAAATTTTGGTTAGATGCAAAAAAAGTGGCAAGGTTAATGTTTTGATTCGTGGGCATTAGTTTTTGATTTACCAATTACTCAAGTCTAAGGCGGACGAAAGCCTGCAGAAGAAATGCGCATTTCATAAACACTGTGATTCATCAGATGTTTAACTACAGGCTCATAATCTTTGAAGAAACTGTCACAGTAAGAAAATTAAAGATATTACAATTAAAGTGATTTTCACAATGAATATCATTACTATCATTTCTCTCATTCTATTAATTTAGCATATTTCAGAATTTGATTGACACAGCGGACCTGAAAGAAAGTAACCTCGTAATCTTGTGCACGCTTCGATAATTGATGTGTTAATGCATTAAAATCTCTGAATTAATTAAATGTAATCAGTTGAACTTTCTGAAACTCTTCCTGACATTAATTTGTGTTGACGCACAGAAATGAAAAGATAATGTGAGAATGTTTTCGGTTCTCTGGAGGAAGCTTTTTGCTTCCGGTGCATTAGAAACACAGCCAGTAAAAAATGTTGCAGTTGGTGATGGGACTTTCTGTGTAAACACTCTCTTATTGCTCAGGGCCATTGGGAAGAATAGTCAGTTTTCCACCATCGACATTCCAGCAAAGTACAGGAAAAAAAAAGAGAAGCTAGTGTTGCTTGTCCATGCAAAACCACAATGCTTCGATGTTGTGGGGTTGCCAGGGAGTTGCTATGTGGTTGCTAATATGTTCTGGGTGATTTAAGCATGTTGTCATATGGTTCTAAGGTGGTGCGTCTCAATCAGCTCCTTAGTTCAGTCGTCAATGCACTGATCAGGGAGTCGGCCATTTTTAATGGATGTCTCAATTGTGAAATCCAAACATCGCTAGACTGAACATTAGAATTAATTTACAGCTGTAATGCAGGTCATCGTAATGTACCTTAAAAAAACATTAAAAAAAATTGAATATCAGTTCTGTAAACGATATACTGTTTGTTGAGACGCACCCTTAGTGTTTTAAAGCAACACTAAGTAAGAATTTTTACCTTAAAATAATGTTTTCAAAATCGTTTCAGTGGTTCATCAAGTCGTGACATGGTGAAATGCACGTATGCCACCGCTTTGCGGTCCTTTATCTGATATATCCATGCTATGTAAGATTGCCAGATCGGGTCGCGTTTCTGTAGTACAAATGAGACCTAAGAAAACTACAAATTTGACTTGCTTTACGGCAAGCGTTACAATTGCGATAGGTGGAGCGTTCTCCACAGTAGACTACAACTACACTTTCATAAAATCATGCATCATTCTCTACCTTGTCTGTGGCCATTGTTGATTCCAAAGCCGGTGCTGGATAAACAGAGAGCATGTGCGTGTGCGTGTGCGTGTGCGTGTGCGTGCGCGTGCGACAGTAGGATGCGCTAGGCTAAATTATTTACGACAGCAGTAATGGACAATTCCGCTTCCAACCTGTTGGGCGACCGCAGAGGAAAAGTTGCTTGGTGTTGCTGTAACACGCTTTACAGTTCTAAGCTGTTCTCAGTGTTTTTAGCATGTTGCTAGGCAGTTTTCTGAGTGTTCATTAAGACCTTGCTAGTTTTTAATATGTTGCTATACAGTTCTAAGGTGTTTACTGGTTACTAGTTCTCAGTGGTTTTTAGCATGTTGCTAGGCAGTTTTCTGAGTGTTCATTAAGACCTTGCTAGTTTTAATTTGTTGCTATACAGTTCTAAGGTGTTTAGTGGTCACTAAGGTGTTCTCAGTGGTGTTTAGCATGTTGCTATAGGCAGTTTTCTGAGTGTTCATTAAGACCTTGCTAGTTTTTAATATGTTGCTATACAGTTCTAAGGTGTTTACTGGTTACTAAGGTGTTCTCAGTGGTGTTTAGCATGTTGCTAGGCAGTTTTCTGAGTGTTCATTAAGACCTTGCTAGTTTTTAATATGTCGCTATACAGTTCTAAGGTGTTTTCTGGTTACTAAGGTGTTCTCAGTGGTGTTTAGCATGCTGCTAGGCAGTTGTAGGGTGCTTATCATGGACAGCTGCACATCTTTGCTTCCACGTCATCAAGCTCCGTCAAAAGACATCTCAATTTAAAGGATCCTTTGAAGGCAGCCTTCGTTTTGTGTCCTTCATTCGGCCAATTTGGAAGGATGCATCAAGACTGTGTCTGAAATCGCCCCCTATACCCTTAAATAGGGCAGATTTTGAAGGGACAGCCATTTGTAGTGGTGTCCGAAACCATAGTGGATGATATTGAGTGCACTCATTCAATCCCACAATGCACCTCAATGTATGCTACCGATGTATGCTCAACGGCTATAGAGAATACCCATAATGCACTGTGAAGGTCGTGCCGAATGAATTCCTTTTTACTTGATTATTAAATTGTTTAATTAAGGTTCATACATGCTAGTCAATCTTTTCATTGGAGCAAATGATTATTAAACAGCAAGCACAAACTATGCAAAAGCGGCGCACTCAGTGTCTGAATACAATTGGGCTGTGTTCGAATTCGCCCTCCTATTCTTATTCCTTACTCCACTAATATAGTCCACTTGAAGGAGTGAATGAAAACGAGTGAATTCTTCACGTCCTCCAATCACCCACAATCCTTTGCACACATTCCAA